TGGAAGAATAATACAATTTTAATTGGCAATTTCTCCTAGTTTTAGGCAATCTTAATCTTATAAACAAATAACTGGCACCAGAATTTTCTTCTTGTTTGAAGGGCAGCAATACAAGATTTTTATTTTCTATACCTACCTGATTGTTACTGCCGCATCATGACAAATTTTCACAAAGTCACACACAAACTATACCTCATTGAAACCTACACATGGCAGAACAATACTGAATTGTTACGGAATGACGAATTTTGAACGGTGTAGTAGAAAAATTGATTTAGATTTTACTATAATGTATCAATAATATTAATTACAGGATTTATGTTCAAATGTTTTCATTAGCAATTCAAATTTGGCTACATTTAATTAAAATCATCCTATAATAATATTAACCTTTCTTAGCACTGAAGTATGTGAAATATCCAAAAAAGTATTATACCCATTTAATATTTTTAAAATAAACGTAGATATTTAGGGTATATTAGTTTAATTACACACAGTTTTTTTTATTACACATTCGAAACGAAAGTTTTTTAATTGTTCACTAGTTCACAATTGTTTATTGAATTATTATAATAATTATTTCAGTGCTTGTTAGGAAAGTTTTTCTAAAACCGAAGGGCAATTATTAATTCGAAATATATTTGCTGAAATAATATATTTGTACTATGAATATCCGAGACTAGCAGACACTTGCAGCATCAAGGAAAAAAAATTTCACTGGCACAACTATGTATAAGATTTTTTTGAAAATGTTCTTTGAGAAGGACAACAGGCTGGGCTTGTAGGAAACACTGTGATACAATCTCATCTTCTAATGTTAGTGAACTCGAATTCGTTTGTGATCTTGCCAAGTACCAATACTGCAACGAAGATCACCTTCCAGAATGGAAACGTAAACTCGTACACCAAGCAAATAAACTAATTAGATTTTCATCATACATTAATGAGAGTGTACATAATTCTAGAATGCAACACAATATGAATTATGTATAGTTTGAAATAGGACATTTTGAAATACCAGGTTTATTGCAAACAATGAATATATGGATATACAATGACATATTACAAAACGTGTCCCAATACCATTCGAAATAATTAACTAACAATATCTTTTAAACAAGTAGAAGCAGAATAAATGCATGTACAGGTTAGGTTATACTATATGGATTTACGGATCTTTTAAGACTATTTTTGCGGTGTAATAGTCACTAAATTAATTCTAATTACAATTATGCAACAAGATTCCAAAAATGAATTATAAAACCTCCACTGCTGGTAGGGTGAAAATCCTAAACAATGTATTGTCTAGCACCCAGTTTTCTTAATATCCATCTGCCAAAAATACTTGAAAACAAAGTTTAGAATGACAAATAAATATCGGGCGCACATAATTCACTTACTTACAATGCACGACATTCTACTTCTGAACAAAACGCTGAAAAATGTCCGATAAAAATGAGCACCTACCTGCTTTGCAGTCTGCACGTAACGATAAAACATCAACCGGCACTTCATTAACCAGCTTTTTGAATTGCATGACGTCACAGCGTTTAGTTTCGGCTCACGTCGGAACTGTTGTAGATGGCGCAAAAATCATTACCCCGTTTTGACCGCTAAGTTTCCCTACCCTGAAAAATACTACGATCCTGGTACATCTGGCAACACTGGTGTAAATTTGTAAGATGTGTCACAATTGGCTAGGGTTCTTTTTGTGAATAAGAGGGCTTCACGTATGGGGATTCATGTCAATAAGATCATTTAAGTTTTTTAATTGGTGTCAACATGAAATTGCTCTTTTAGATTTAGTTATTGACCGAACTATCCTCTTCTTTTTTCAAATATTTGTTTTCTGCCAGTTAAGTATCTCAAATTTGAGAACTGAATGAGCGTTTTCAAAATACACTATTTCCTCTGTTCTAATAGCACCGTTTCTTGTTATGGTTCTGAGAGAATAGTTATGAGAAGTAGATGTGTCAGTGAGTAAAGATTAAGCAATAAGCTATTCTTGAAGCAATTTGCCTTTATTATTTACCTAATTGAAGACTCATACCTATGAACTGGTCCAAATAGATTTCATTTGTGTTATTGAGCTCAATATAATCAGCTTGAAGCAGAGTCTAATTTAGTAAATCAGTATGTAGAAGTAAATCTGTTAGACACAGGAATTAAATGTGAATATTTTAGAATTAATTAACATAAAAAAATAGCCTTTTTTGCTTGAAAATTAGTTTTACTGTGTAGCTGAATAATTTTCATAATAATGTTTTCATAGAATCTACTATTTATCAGTTTTTAAGTTTCTTACATGCAATGATTAGGCTTTTTTTGAGTCAACACCAGGTATTTTCCACAGGAGAGGGCTCAAACCAAACACTTGATGCTAAAATACCTGCAGGTTATTGGAATTTGGGATCAGCAGAATATTCAGCACTTTGCGACAACATACATGAAAAAACTATTGAACAATGTCTTTAAAAGAGGGCTCAGTCCTGCGACCTTTTTAATCGAGGTGTTGAGTAGGCACATGCTGTAATCTTGGCCATCCAGAATAGCTTTCTATAGAAATTTGTATTTTTCTAGTAGAAACTGTAACACATAATTCCATAGGTGTTCACAGCCTGAAACAATTGGGGAGGAACTACATTTTCAAGCCTCTCTTTTCCACTAACTTTTATATCTACATATGGCATACTATTTTACTACAAAATAAATAAAAAATAATACAATGTATAAATAAAATGTATGTTGGACCATTTACAGTGGGTTGGAGAAGTTCATGTATCAATTCCCCAAACTGAAAGCTTAAAAAAGTACAAAATCAGAAATTGATCATATTAATTGAAATAAAAAATGTTTTATTATAAAGGGCCTTGGAAATTTTCACACGGGTCATGGTTCCCCTTTCCCCAGTGCAAAAGCCTATTTTTACTTTACAGACATGGTTTGGTTTAAAATCATCCAATTTCACTTTGCTGATTTACTAGATTTGACTTGAAATATAGATAATCATTCACGTATATAATTATATACTATTATATAATCATTCACATATTAATATCACATATATAATTATTCAAACTAGAACTTATCTCCAAAAGGTTTGAAAAATAATCAAAACCTACCCCAAAGTCTAGGGTGTTTTCAAATCCCTCCCTTGCGTTTGTAAAATCTTTATGTTGTACCCTACATATCATACACCATATTAATATATCATAATAAAAATGAAATAATTTATCTAGTTGTTGCTATTTAGTTGATACTTAATTTGTAGTAAAAAAGTCAGAAAGATAAGTATTCACTCAACTTATCTAAAAATGTCCACATCCATTCTCTTAATAATCTACAAAATGAGCTATATTTAGATATATGACAATACAAGCATGTGTTTTGAGTAATAAATTAATTAATCTAAGATATATAATATTTTCCTTAATTCAAAATAGAAAACGGTAGTCACTTCTTTTAGCTTCTCCAGAAATTAAACACTTGTTACCCATAAATGCTAACTTCCAATTAAACGTACATAAAAAAAGAATTCACATTAATATTTAATTTAAATTGGTAGGGCCTACACATGAAAATGAGAAAAAGTGTCCGAGCTAGCATAACTGATAAAATTCCTACAGTGGCTAATATGCCAAGTGTTGTGGAGATATTTCCTTGAACAATGCACCTCAAAAAAGAAATGTTATGTTTTCTGGAACACATGAAGTTGAATTTCACTAGAGTAGAAATGACTTGCTTTTCAGCAATTTGTTGGCTTATTTTACACACATAATCAACATCTCCCTGGCCTTGTTGCATTCGTAATCAGCTTCTCTTTTTAACTGATGTCTCCCCTCACATTCCTTCACATACCCCATTCAAACATTTTTTTTCATATTTAAATAAAAAAAATTAAATAAGGAATACGAATATGGATTTATTAGTTCAATATTTTAATTGAAAATATTTAATTTCCTTCCTTATTGGAAAGCAATATCTCGCATTTCTTAGTTGCTGATTTTATATTATATTTTATAAATTCTTGTTTCACCCAGATAGTTTACTATAAATATGTAAAATATGTACATGCGAAGCAATGGCATGGCAGTCACAGAGTATACATATTATTAAAACAATGCGGTTAGAACATCTTTGGTTACTGGCACTAAGTCTTATAATGCGATTTATGTAATTCTGCCCCTGGTAAGAACCAGTGGTTGGTAGTTCCATCCAATCGGAAGCTCTAATGTCATCATACAGACGTCAGTATGGTGACGTTTAAGCTCCCGATTGGAGAAAACTGTCAACAGTTAATACCTGCCAGAGGAAGAGTTGTGTAAATCGCAGGATACTTTCAGCCAAAAGACAGTACAGAGTAAGTATGTAAAATGTAAGTACAGAGGTGTGGTCAGAATGCGACAGAGATAGCACCATTTTCAGGAAGGACGTCTTTGGTTATAAATTATATGTTCATTTTCAAAATAAAACTTTTCTTGACTTTAGTAAACAATAGATTTAAGTATATAAGTATATGAATATTTTACGGTACAAATAAATAAAAACAGTTTTCTTTTAGATGGGTAATTTGTATCCAGTATTGTTTATTACTTGCTCAAATTTCCATTATTAGGCATACACAAAGTAATACAAAATCTCACAATTTGTTTCAAGTACATTTTCAATTAAAATTACACGTAGTTTCCAAAATTGTAAATTTTACTTGCAAATTTTTGAAAGTTATTGAAAGAAAAAACAAATCGTGTACGTGCAGAACAGATTTGAAACATATATACAAAGTGTGCTTTCTGCTTCTAGTACACTAATGTTATCAATTCTGACTTGCCCTCAAAGAAAAGGATTTATTATTTCAGATAATTGAGAATTGGTACATGGAATTTTTCAACCTTTAGTAAGTCAAATACAAAAATTATAATTTGAACAATTACGTCTCGAAATGAGTTATCTTTGCAACAAGGAAAACCATTGGCGTTTGTACTTTCCATGTCTACCAACGTAAGAAAAAAAACTAAGTTGTTATTGACTCAATTTATTCCGTCGCAATATTGGCAGTCAATTTAAGAAAGTTTGTGAAGTTATTCAAACTCGTTCACTTTATTCCTCTATGTAATTACTCTTTGTAATGAATATTATTAATTCGAGAATGATTTGGAAGGTTCAATTTGTTGTAGTTCGATAGCAACAGGACACTAGAGCCATCTGTTGGATTTTCCCGCCATTGTGGCATTTTCTCGCGAACGGCGAATCATTGCGAACGGTAAGCGTCCTGTGGATAATATTTGTTGGTTTTGGGTTTTGTTTATTATTTTGTGACGTACTTGAAGGTATTTTGCATTTAATGGTTCTTTTGGTGATAATACTTTGTTCTCGCAAATGTTCTAGTTCTCTGAAGATGTCTTCATATTCATCATAGCGTCGTGCGTCGTGGTGACGTAGTGCCCCGAGTGCATGGTGCAATGTAAATGAACTGAGGAGACCGCATTTCCTTTGATTTTTTACATTAACTGTGCCAATATTTTACGGTAGGCAATTTGTGATTTAGGATGGAAGTAGAAGATACAGATATTCGTAAGCCGAGAGGTCGTAGAAGTAGGAACAATTCAAGTAACTCCAAGGACCCAAAAACTGAAATAATGAAAGGAACTAATGGTAATGCAGAAGAGAAAGACTCAGAAGTTAATGATTTACCAAATGGTGATGATGCAGCTGCCGAGCGTGTGAGGAGTGACGAGAACTCTGAAGATTGTGTTGAAGAGAAAGAAAAGAATTCTAAAGGAAACTCTAGTTCAGGGGAAGTAGAAGGTGCCAAGGACGGGGTATCTGCTGTGGAATCTGCTAATGGTGACAATGAAAACCATGTTAGAAGTGGTTCAAAAAGGGGACGAAGTGGGAATGCAACAGATAGTGATGAAGACTTCATGGGTTTTGAAAGCAACGAGGAGTCTGGGAAAGAATCACGCTTTTCTTTTCTGCAATCTCTCATTGGTGAGTAGGGACTTATATTCTGCCTTTATTTGATGTGCATGCATTATTAAAGTGAACATGTGTAAAAAAATCTGTGTAATGGATCTTCAATATTTATTTGTTGCACAGATATTGTAAAATCAAAAGGAAATTATTAGTGTTATATTTTCATTCAGAGGTATGCGTGTGTGATCGTCTCTTTTATTCCTTATTGATAAGGTCAGCCATTTTGGAAAATTTAGGAGTCTGAATTGTGTGGCTTGTTTCACAAGAATGCAGTTACTTCAAATGTATTACTTATAAAGTATCAATGTGGGAAAAACCAATTTTAAAATTGTCTCATTTGTATTTGATTTTACAGGCAAATATGAAACAGATGGAGTTTTAAGTGACGATGACCTCACTGAGGAGGAGAAGGAGTTCTTTCAGCGTTCTCAGGAAAATTCATCTGATGCATACTGGTCTGGTACAAGTTCACCTACCAAAATCGATGGCTGTAAGTTGGCAGTTAAAACTTTCTTATTTAGTTTTAATTGGAAGTGTCAAAATTTTGACTATGTTTTTAAATTTAATTGATCATATTTATATTCATTATGGTAGGGTGTTGTTTTTTTTGGTCAAGTTAGCATGCAGCTGAGTTGCCTAGCAACCATTATTGTAGAAACTGATATGAAGGAATTTGGTAATAACCGCACATCTTTTCTTGGCCTATTGCTGAAAGAAATGTAGGTAGAGTGAGGGTATTAGTTACGAAATCGTTCACAAGATTTTATGAAGAAACACCAATCTTTTGAATATCAGTCGTCCCTTCGAACTTTTCTCATTAATTTGCATTCCAACTTTCTCAGGAGTCGAGGGTATCTCCAGGGATTGATTTGGACCTGCTTTGGCTATTTCTTTAGATTGGGGGGGGGACATGAACAGGAGTTCTCATCTTCAACAGCAAATAGTTTTTATTACTTGCCAATGAAAGTGGATGTGTATTTGCAGTCAGATACTGCGATTTTTGCAACTTCGCCCCTGGTAGGTATCAGTTAGCTGACAGTTTCATCCAATCAGAGGCTCCCGATTGGATGAAACTGTCAGCTATTTGATACCTGCCAGGGGCAGAGTTGTATAAATCACAGTATGTGAGTGTTTACCTTTCATGTTTTTTTGTGCCAGGAAAGGGAGGTAGGCCATTAATCAAAAAAAGGTATGAGGGTAATGTTTGTTCTGTAACATAATGGTGTGAGCTTTCCATTGTGTTAATGTCTTGAAAGTTTTATATTAGTCACATTGAACTACAAAATATAATATCATTGGCTCATTGCTACCCTATAGATCATACCTCTGGTTAAGGAAAAGTTTGCAAGCAGGACCATTCCAGGATTTTTGCATCACTTCTGAAATAACTTTACCTATGGTATCAACGGTTCCTGCATAATAATGTTTGTTTATTTATATTTCAGGTTATTATGAATACATATTTTCATTATGACATTTACAGAAAATACTGCAGGAGGCTATGCCTGTACGCAGACCTGAAAAAATGTTTTTACAGAATGTCAATCTAGAGTTTTCGTTTCCTTCCCACAGAGCATAATGCATCTTCATTTGTGTAAACAACTATTGCAGGTTTTTTTGTTTTTATTAATCATAATATTATTTTTTGCTCTTGAAATTGAAATTGCCAAAAGCTTTTCTTGGTATAGAAATCAAGGCGTGAGATCTTCCATGAACATATTTCAGAATATTTTATATTTTTGTTTCACGGACAAGAAGAATTCCTTTGTCTCTTTGGAAGCAATTTAAATAGAACATTTTTATTTTATTTGGAAATAATCAGATTCATCATTGCTAGATTCTATTATAATTGTTGGATTCAGGCAATCTTGAATGGTTTTCAAGTTTGTTTGACATTCACTGAGGTGCAGTGAAATTTCAATATAATGGATTTCAGTATTACATTCATTTCAGCTTTACATGTTATTTGAAATCAATTTTGAATATGGTGAAAGTATGAATTGTAATAAGTGCAAAAAGTAATAATTTGAAATAACTTTCAAATACGTGTGTATTTGAAATCCTTTGAATGTCCTATGTTACTTTATCAAGATATTTAACTTTAACAAACTCTCTACTTGGACGTATTTCGGTATTACACAGTATGGATTAATTTTTTCAAAAATAACATTTTCGTTTCTATTGAATCTGCTGTTGTCCTCAAATATTTACTCTGAAGTTGTGCTCATTGTGCGCAACACTTCGATTCTATATGTCAGTTGAATGCATGAAGACATGACCTAATTTGCCGCAATCACTGCAGGTAGAAGCAGTAGTCATTATTTCTGGATCACATAATGGGGAATCCTGACTTTTGCAATTTCGAATATTATGATCTGGGTATTCAGTTCATGCCTTATTAATTGTTGCAAACTCTCTGGCTGCAAATTCACGTGTTGTGGTGGTTACAGTTTTCTGAATGCATTTTGTGGTAGTAGTTGTATTCATAAACATTACAATCCAATTTGGTTACAATAGAATGTAAGGAAATGAGACATCACAATAAAACAGAAAGTGGAGGGAAAAGAAAAAAAAAGTGTAATGAAGGAGGTTGTATGTAGCACATGCGTATGATATAAAGCCAACTTCAGTTCCAGCAATTTAAAAAAAAAAATATCTAAAAATATATCAACAATTAGAGATACACCATGATCAAAAGAATATTTGTTTAGAGGGTTTTGTAAGGTGGAAGAGGCAGAAGTCACTTGGTTGAAGGACATTAGCTCTAGTGGGGTTTCTGTTTCATGGCTAATGATAGAAGAAAACGCGAGACAATTAATGGATGTTAAGGATTTTCAAGTAAGTACTGGCTGGCTGTTTTGTTTTGTGACCGATATGGCGTAACTTGGAAGACTTGTTGGGGCAGCTAAAGATGCAGACATGAACCCTGCTAGAGTGTGGAAGGAACATCACCTTAAAACTATTTGAAAAGTACTATCCTAAATATATTTCCAATGCGAATGAAACATCATTTTGTTTATTACATTATGCCTAATAAAACTGTCTTGTAAGGAAGAGAAGATTGTACTTTCGTAAATGACTAGTTCAGCGTATTATAATCAACCTTAGATTGAAATTTTCAACTAAAATCAACATCCTGCAAGGGATACAAATGTTAGCAGGGGGTTGGTGGAATGTGTAGGCAACAACAATTGCCAATTGTTGGAGAAGGTAAGGAATTTTGGATTTTCAAGACAGTGGTTTGCCAGTGGTTGAGACTTGCGAAGATAATTGTGAGGTGTAGGAAGAAATTACAAAAGGAGTTCGAACTTCTGTCACCTATAATATTTGTTGATTATGGCATTGTTGATGCTGGGACTGAAAGAAGTTACTGCCTCACAGAGAGTGACATTGTTGAATCTTTGACCACATCACAAGAAAAAAATGAAGAGGAAGAAGTGGAAGAAGAAATGATTGAAAAGCGTCTCCAACAGAGGCAGTGCTGTTTTTTGAGAAGTTAAAAGTGTATGTTCAGATAAGTATAAATGTTTCTGGGTCAGTTCTCAAATCATTATTTGAAGTAGGACAGTTTTTGGAAAGCAACTTTCTCGAAGAGAAAACAAACTTCCATCAAAGAATATTTTTAAAAGTAATATGTATTTTTTTCATTTTTTTGTTTGTGGGCTATTTAACATTAGTTAAAATTATATTTTCAATATAAAGTACTTTTCAGTATAAAGTATAAATAAAATTATTTGTATGATTACTCTGTACTGAATTTCACTGAACTCAATATCACACAAATCAAGTCTTCTAAACTGTGTGTATTCTTTGTTGGGTCTTTTCAACTTAATAAATAGCAAGAACACAAAGATCATTTCAATGGTAATTGGTTGACCTCTTAAGGATTGTTCGATGTTTGAGAGCTTGGCTGTACTGAGGAGACTTGTAGGAAAGGAACAAAAGGCCTTCAGTATTAAAACTGTCAAGAAGCAATAATTTCAGGCATTGCTTTTTTAAATCAATCTGTCACTAACAAGGCAATATTTGGTGTAGCTGGAAGGAACATTTTCGTTTCCTGAAATCTCAAAATTTTCTTGCAAACTATATCCCTGCTCATCCCACTGATTTTATCAAAGAGATAATAGTTTGATGTTTACTAAATCTTCATTCAAGTTAAGTGGAAGAGCATAATACAATAATAATTCTAAAAATGGTATTATTGTATTTATAATTAATACGATTATCCTCTAAATAAAGATTCACATTAGTTAAAAAATACTCCAGATTGATTAAAATACACTCCGGATTGCAACTATCTTTCTCGTCAAGCTCTAGCAACTGTTGGTGCCTCTACAGTACTTAGTGTGAATTATAAGCTGTTGCATATAACAATTGTTTTATACTTTCCAGTCTTTTAAACAATCTGGGAGATTGTACCAATTTTTACATAACTCCAATACAGTTCTCACATAGGTATGTTACGACCTGTTTTTACACCCTAACCTTGATTTCCAATCTCTTGTATTAAGACATTTCTCTCACATTGATTACGATATTCTTATCACAAGGCTCAGCATGAATAAATTAACACAATTTTCTCCAAATTCTGAATATCAACATCTAAATTGTTTGCTACTATCAAATGACTCATAGTGTGAATATATTGGTCTTATAGTATTGTACAAAGTCCAATGGAAGTTCCAGATTTTGGGGAATGCATCACTTGAAGCACATGTTTGGTATATGGTCCTTAGGTCTTGGAGAAGTCACTAATTGTGCCTTTTTATGTATTCGAGGAGAGACCTTTTAATGTTGAGAAGTGAATCATATATAATCATTCATGAATGCCGATTTTTATCAATACATTAACTTCCGATCACAATTTGCAATATCAATGTTTCAGGTTTACTCTGCTAACGCATTTCAGTTGCATGTCAAAGGCAAAAAATTCAATATGTATTCTCAAATTACTACCCATAAAAAGCTGTCAAGCTATTGAAACAATTGAATACTAGGGGGCACAATCCTGATATCAATTATAGCTAACATACCTAGTAATGTTATGAGTAGAGCAGGTTTTCGGGCACCTTATTGCTTTATCCATGTTCACCTAAGAAATTATGTTTGGGAGGGCATTGTAGTGTTACGAGCCTATTAGTGCCTATTTTGATTTTAGCTTTAGCTGATTAGTGCTTTTTATACTTTTTCTTCTTAGTTATTTTGTTTTCTACAATTTTTTGAGAAATCACTGTTGGGACCAAACTAGTAATAATCTCCTAAAATGTATCGGGGCGTCCTCAGATCAAGAAGCTCTTTGACCTCCAGTGTTGTGCAGTGGCGAGCAGGGACACTGCTTAGAATGTATGTGAATTTGACACCGCAGAATATGCTTATCTCTTTTGTTAAAGACCTTTAGGGTGCTTCTGTACAATTAAAAATGCACAAGGAAAATGTTTATAATAATAAAGGGGGCTCCAGTGCACAGGAGATTGCTCTCGCCTTTCCGAT